AGCAACCGAGAACTTTGATCTCTGGTGACGCGAAAACGCACTTGTCGATGTTGGCGTAGAGCTTGTTCGCTCGCATCACGTCCAACACTCGACGGAGGTGTCCTAGATGCACCTCCATGGCCGTCTTGCCTCCCTCGGCACGGCTATGGACGAAAATGTCGTCGAAGTACGTCTGTACGAAGGTACGCAAAGGGCGGAACAATTGCGTCACCAGGCGATTGAACGTCGCCGGGGCGTTAGACAAGCCCTGCGGCATGACGAGCCACTCCCAAAGCATGCCGCTTGGAGTGCTTACCGCGGTGAGCGGGATGTCACTCTCTCGCATCAGGATTTGGTAGTATCCGTCTACCAAATCCAGCGCACTGTACAGTACGCTCCCGGCCATGTTGTTCAACAACACATCCTTTCGTGGGATCGGTGTTTGGGCCGGCACCGTTGCGTTGTTCAGCTTGTTATAAGCGTGAACCAGACGCCACTTTCCGTTCGGCTTACGAACGCAGAAAGTCGGCGTCGAGTGCGGGGATTTCGACTCCCGCACCATGCCTGCCTTCGCTTTCGCGGCGAAGAAGGCATCAATGACCTCGCACTGTTCGCGCGGGAGAGGCCATTGCCTCGTGACACAATACTTTGTGCCGGGCACGAGATCAATCTCGTGCCGTACGCCTCGATCCGGTGGGAGCTGGGTCGGTGGGTGTTTATTCACCACGTCCGCATACTCCGTCACCAAAGGATACACCGGTCCCTTGGGGTTCTTGAGAATCTCAGAACCCAAGCGCGCCTGACGCTGCTTGTTCATGTCTTCCAGGACGTTCTCGTCCAAGACAGAGGAGGAGTTCAGCTCCTCCTGAGTGGTCTCAGGTCTCATGAGTACCATCTCAGCGATCTCTCCAGCCTTGAGGTTGGCCAGGAAAGACTCAGCCGTCATTTCCTCGAGGTTCAGTATCTCTGCAACCTCTGGCAACGGTTCCAAGTGGACACCAGATGCCTTGACGGGTAAACCCGTCTCGCTATCGAAGATGTGATAACACTCTTCCACCGGCCTTGTCGGAGGAGCCCGGGCCCTGGACTCCGAGTCGCTTGAAGCGACGTCGATCGGAACGAAGTTCGGATCCGACTTGAGGCGGCGGTGGCGTCTTTGCCGACGGCTTCTGTGACGGGGAGCTTTGCTGCCCACGTCTAGGGATGTCGTCGCTACGACATCCGAGGCACTCGTGGCCTCGTGTGGTACTGTTGTACCCACACAGGAAGCGTGTTCAACGCCTTCCTCTTCAGTTAAGGTCTGGGCGACCGCGTGTGGCACTGTGTTACCCACACAGGAAGCGTGTTCAACGCCTTCCTCTTCAGTTAAGGTCTGGGCGACCGCGTGTGGCACTGTGTTACTCACACAGGAAGCGTATCCGACGTCTTCCTCTTCAGTTATGGTCTGGGCGACCGTGAGTGGAACTCTGTTACCCACTCTGAACACGCTGTTCTCAGTGTTCATGACAGCTGCAGCTGTCTGCGGAACTAAGTTACCCGCCTGTGGACCTAAGTTACCCACTTGGCCGGCGCCTCTTCTGGGCGCGGCCACCATCAAAACATCCTCGGAGTCGTCATATACGTCGACGACTCCCAAGCATCTGCCGGATGCTTTGGTACCCTGGCAGCCCTCGCGGGCGCCCCGGGTCCTGACAGAGGTGGGAACATGACTCACCAATGCTCTGTCGGACTGCGCAGGGCGGCTGGCACCGATTGCCTTGCCTCGCCAGTCGATCCAGGGCTCGTGCTTCTCAAGCCAGGGCATGCCCAGGATCATATCATATGGATCCATATCGAGAATAGTGAACTGTTCGAGGCTGTCAAAGTCTTCAAACTTGACAGTTGGACGTTGGGGACAGTGACGACCTTCCCGTCGGCCAGTCGCACTGACACCGTCCCGTTGCCCTTGCTTTCTCGCAAAGCTTCGGACAACTTGTTGCTGTTACGAGCCACCGTCTGGCGGCGTGCGAAATTCTTCGACGCCCCAGAGTCAATCAAGATTCTAAAGGGGTGATCGTACCCCCGTACACATCCGTGTACTACGAGCAACCCGCCGCTGCTCTTCGCCGATTCGAGAGTGCGAAGACTCTCAGGGGCTAAGTCCCCGTGGTACGCGCCACCCGCGCACCCATCACGAAGACTTAGTTCTTCCCCAGTAGGGCGCCCCGCCCCTACGGGTTCCCTGCGTTCCCCTGTCCCCGGGATCCTGGCTTCTGCCAGCGACCCTTGAGGACGGGCTTGGGGAAGGACCGTCTGCGGAGTCTTTCCGCGGGACAGTCGCGCTTGAAGTGGCCCATCTTCCCACAGCCGAAGCAGCGGATGTCACGCTGTTCGGCGGACCCGAGTTCCATGGGAACTGGTCCGTTGGGGCTTGTTCGACCGGGAGCCGACAAGGAACTCCCAGGCCACGCTGAGGCCGGCGTACGCGCCTGGCGATGGCTGTATTCTTCTTGAAGAGCCACTTGAATCGCCTCTTCAAGGGTGCTTGCCTGCACCCGGAACAACTGAGTGCGTGCGGGGCCCACTCGAAGGCCGTCCATGAACACAGTCATCTTGATGTGTTCATTGAGTGGGTTTCCCACTAGGGACGCCGTGAGCTCCCGTATCTCTTGCACATACTCGTGCAGTTCGCGTCTTCCTTGTTTACACGCGAGGAAGCGCGAACGCTGGCGGTACTCGTAGTTCGCCGGGAGGAACGCGGCTCGGAGCTGTTCGCACAGCTGAGCCCAGGATGTGAAACATCCAGGGGATGTCGCTTCCCGAGTGTACACCCAACTCTTAGCACGACCGCTAAGGTTGGAGAGTGCAAAAGCAACACGCAGTTGCTCGGTCGAGATCAGAGCCGCGTCCATCGCGAGCTCTACTTCTCGGACCCAGAAGTGAAGGTTCTCGCCTTCCTTCCCTTCATACGGCTTTACCTTCAGCCGTATTGGCTTCGGGTGAGGCGGGTTTGCTCCCGCCGCCGGAGCCTGCAGGTTCTCCCGCACATGCGCGATGAGGCCCTGCTCGTACGCGTCGAATGCATTGACGCGCTCGAGCTGCTCAGCCGGTGTTGATACCACCAGGCTCTGCAGGGCCTCCATCCCGAAGATGCCTGCCATCTTCCGAACCGACTCGAACTGAGAGTCGTTCATATGGGAGAAGTCGTTCCTATCCATGGCAACGAACTTCGGAGGTTCAGGTAGTCTACCCGCGATGGCGTGGATTGACTACAAGTGCTACCAAGTGTGACGGGGTCACACAGCACCTTGCGCTAGAGGAAGTTATCTTCCGAGAGTATACAAACTCTCAGTGAACGGCAGTTCACTGGTCCCCTCTTTAATTAAAGAGAGCGAAGTGACCTAAATAAGGTAGATTGTAAACTGAGTATATTTATAGGTAGGTTAAGTTTGTGGTTAATACAAACTATCAGTTACCTATAGAAATGCAATGTCATTTAACCAATGGTTGGTTTTGAATGACCTTGGTACCTTGTACCAAATATCCCGGAGTATGACATGTCATACTCCTGAAGTGTGAAGTGTCACACTTCATGTAACCAGGGTACACTTAGTGCTACGTACCCCGTTACACTCAGCGACGACTTCAAAGTTGTGTCCGTCAATGGACCGATCCAGACAGACGGATACAACTGCGGATTCTACGTAATGCTGAGGTTTTGGCGATATGTAGACAAGAGTGTGTCGCTGGACGTAACTCCGATTGGTCTAACGCTGTTACCCTTCGCCATCCTTCACTTCGTGCTTCACGGTAGCAAGCCATAATGCAACTAATACAATCTCATTTCTATTGAAACTGGAATCGACCCGCCTAATGTTCATGCGTATGGTTGACCTCCTGACTTCTGTATACCGGTATGTACGAGAGATGTCAGAGGACTTTCGTTTGCGAAGGTCTAACAACTTCCATTCACTATGGATTTTAAAAACAGTGGTAAGTAATTTATTTCGACAATGCCGTGCGGTGCACGGGAAGCTCTGGATTTAGTGTACTTTTATACTGGGAATACCGAATAGAATGAGGGATGGACGGCCCCAACGGATTAATTCCACGGTACTGCGTAGCGTAAAGTTTTACAAGCCTCCACAGTTCCCGAAGCTAGTGCAGTGTACGCAACATGCCGTCAACTTGCTGTCGTGACGCTCTGTCAGGCTATCAATCAACTGGATCGATATTCCAGGTCGACAGCGAACCGTATCGTGTCTGGTCTTACGCGAATTGCAGCAGCCTGTCGTGAGGATATCCACCCAATAGCGAATGAACTAATGGAGCCTCTGCTTCCTGCAATGCTAGACGGATCTCAATGGGGCAAGTTCCTGCGTCTTCGTACTGAAGCTATCGCCACTGTGCTCGTTGGTTGTGCTGAGAGTGATGACTTCCGGGTACGTGTGCTGTATTTTGTGTCTTGAAATGGCTAAACTAACCAATGTTTTGCACTGTACCAGGTGGAAAATCATCCGTGGATCAGCGACTTCATCTGGATCCCGTGGTTTCGTCCGAGAATGTGCATTCGTTCCTGATTCTCTGTGGATTAATAGTTTCGTGGGAGCTTGGGGGAAGGGAAGAAAACGAAACTAGAATAGTGACAGATGAGTGCCTGGGAACCCAGTGAATGTTGCGCTAGTATGGACCAACACTCCTTTAATGTGTATTGAGGCACACGCGACATCGCATTTCGTCTTGTAATGATTGCGGTATATTGTGATATAATATTAAGTTTCCGTGTGCTATCATTTCAAAATTCAGACCTCCAGTCAGATTGCCATAATTGCCATAACAACTCTGGATTAAAATCCAGAGAACACATGGACATTACATGGAGTATTACATGGAAATTAAACTGAGTCGACGCATGGACTGTAGCATCGGCCAATTTTTAACAGCAACGGTTGCGTGTTCATGTAATATTTGTACTACGTAGTATTATACTACCGTACGTGGTACGTGATGTGTAAGACAAAGCCTTGACAACATGCGGCTTTATGAATCGCACCGTATCCAATCTTAATAGCCGAAGTTTACGTTCGTCGATGCCTTACTAGCTGCTTTGACTAGAATTTACCACCGGCCATGAGCCTTGCGTCGCTCCAGCAACTGACGAGTTGACATGCGACCGAAGCGAACTACTACAGGACGCGGAGCTTCTCTCAGTCGGTACAAGACACGGGACAACCCAAGTCCGCTCACCTCCTGTCCATTTACGGCCAGGATAACAACACCACTTCGAATCTCTGGGTATCTCTTGGCCTCGGACCCTTCAAAGCATTCCTTGACAATCGCGAACTGCTTCGTCTCGTCAGCGCCGAGCTTCATACCGATCGCCTGTTGCTTGAACACGATATCAAATACATTCTCCATCCCATCCAGTGCGTTCTGTGGACGAGGAACCGACGGAGACGGAATTGTCGGCACTTGGTGCGCAGGACTCGAAGGAGCGGGGATACGTTGAGGCCAAACGTTCTCACTTCTGCGCGTAGAGTACGACGGTGTGTCCTCCAAGCTGCTGTCTGATCCTGAGTCTGAGAAGCCATTCGGATCATGCTCTGGAGGGTACGCTGGCGACGCCGGCACGGTTACTCGTCGGACACCTGTCGGGTGCGGTTGTGATCGGTTGTCCTGGTCGTAATTGCCCATGACGTACGTATGTAGCAGCGACAAGAAGGCATCCTGATCCTGTTTCTGCTTGCGTTGTGACGCACTAACTGGTGTACGTTTGCCAATCAGTGTGAAGGCGTAAAGCTGCTGGAAGAACAAGCCGTTGGACGAGTCGATCTTGTCGGATGAGAGCAAGCCGCCCGGATACGAGCGTAGCCATGGGAACATGGCGCTGTTGTATGACGTGTCAGGTGTCTGTAGCAGTGTACGAGCATCAATTACGTCCATGGCAGAGATACCACGGCCGATTGAGTCCTCCAAGTCGATCACCCGGCGGGTTGTGCGGTTAAATAGCACCTCCAGCTCGTCCTCGGGCGGTGTGTGCTTCTGGCTGGAGCGTTGGATGTTTTTGGCCTGCATCAGCAGCCACTTGGCCGGCTGCCGCGGGTCACATGGGATGTCGTACGTCTGCGTGCGCACGAAGAGTCTGCAGACAATTGGAGAAAGATTTAGAGCATTTTTTCTTTGTGAATTGAAGACGCTTCCCCTTTGTTTGTTCGGCGTTGCAGAGCGAAGGGGGGCGCGCGGGTGTCTTGTGCGGATACATACCTGACAGTCAAGCTCTCGCCCATGTTGTCTGAGTGCGGCACGGTCTGCAGGTCGGAATGGCAAGTGAGGTTGGCTGCGTTAACAGTAAAGTGATTTTTGCCAAAGAATGACTGCGCATTTGTAAGCTAGGAAAATTCGATTGAGTGATAATCGATCATGCCGATCGAGAGGTCTGATTTGTTGGGGACAGTTTGCATGGATCAAAAGCGTGCTAGAATGTCAAAGCCATCTGTGCGATTCAATAGGATTAACGGCGGCCGTTATTAATACCAGCGAAATACCGCGCCGCACCTCTTTGAATTGCAGCCCTAAACGGATGAAACCAAAATGGCGACGCGTTAGCTTCAGTAAGTATAAGAGACAGGATATGATCGGTGCACGTTTTCATTCTACATGATGACGAGCTCCTTTGCGCTTTGATTTTTTTTTTCTTTTTAGCGGGAGAGGTTGCTTGATAGCGTAGAATGAAAGGCTGCAATCTACGTCTCCCATCCATAAGGTTCACATCACCCACAGACTGAAATACTGAATTGCCTCTTGACTGCTACTTCGAAGTACTAGCCAGCAGTGTTCAATTTGCTCACTTCAACCCAAAATGCTCAGATTGCTTCAACGGAAGCTTCAGCTGGTCGGTCAATCAAAAGTGTTCACAAAGTGAAGCTATTTTGAAATCGCCTTGATGATATAAATGGCAACAGCAATAAAATGGCCGAAGAATACCCTCACTCCGCTCATTAGGCAACTATGCTAGGAGGAGGTGGCTCGAACATCTTGCGGGGTGGTAAGCGCTCTTTTGAGTGCAAAACGCTTGTAGGGAACTTCGTGGAGGAGTCCTACCGTCCAGGCGCTGTGAAGGACGTTCGTGATGGCGGTGCCAGTTACACCAGTAACACACGCATCCAGATGCAGGAAGGAGCGCGTATCAAGGTGCAGGAGTTCGGTGCAGGACTTCGCAATGCCAACGACACATCTAATTACAACTACAGTGAGCTTGTTGGGGCGAACAAGACGAGAGGCTCCGGCACGTGGCAATCGATTTCACAGTCGGCATACAACAATTCCAGCAAGCCCACGGAGTTCGCAGCACCACGAGAGATGAAGGGGCGAACGATGCGGGGCGAAGAACTCCAGAAGCACCGAGAGCGTTGGACCAATGAAAGCGAAGCACTCGTCAAGACCCGCTACGTTACAGACGCTTCTGTATCGATGGACCCCGTCGTGAATCCGCAATTCCGCAAAGAGCTTTGCAAGCCGATACAACCCACGTTTAAGTAGTTAGGAGCCCATCTATAATGAGATCAGAGGCTATTTCCATTCGTTTCTTGTCAAATGTGATAAACTTGATACCTTGAGGAGGTGGCCGCATCTCGATCAAAAAGTTGATTCAACGAGCATGCCATTGGCATCGCCACTTTTGACAATTTGTTATCCCCTCGCTCTATCACCAACCACTAATTTGACGAACTATGTGTCACTAGCTGCGCATTCGTTCTTTTCCCTACACATCACCATAACATACAAAAAGTTAGGAGCTCAACAGCTAAAGTTACAGTAATTTTTCCCACTTACTCTCGTAAGTCGATGACCATGGCGCAGATATTGTCCATACTGCCACGTGCATAGGCCTCCTCCATTATACGCTGCGCTGCAGTCTGCGGGTCCTCGTATTTGAGCACCAGTTGCGCCGCGTCGTCATTGGAAACGGTATCCCAGACTCCGTCACTGGCAAGAACGACATAGCGATCCTCCTCCGTCCTCGTAAACTTCTTCACTTCTGGCTCTGCTACAACAAAAGGCTTGAGCATCCGGTCGCCGATAGCGCGAGACACGGCAAGGATGCCTTCTACGCGCCATACGCCCCAGAAAACGACCGATCCTCCTAGCTCTTGAATCCGACGACGTTCGTCCGGTCGATTGGGCTTATGGTCGGATGTCAGCACCGACGCCTTGCCACTGCGATGCACCAACACGGCTCGAGAGTCGCCTGTATGCGCCACGAAGATCTCGTCGCCCTGTGTCAGCACAACAACTGCAGTCGTTCCGTCCTCGGAATTCTTGCGGTTGGCAATCTGCAAATACTGTTGTATCCAGCACGAATGCAGCGTCAATTTACAGTTCAGTTAGTGTAGTATCGTTGCAACCATCACTTGCCTCTTGGTCTGTGCGTAGAAATCCGTTCTTCAGCGCTTCAATGGGTTCCTTCGTGATGGTCGGCTCCCGGATCACATTTTGACACATGGCCTGCACACAATAGCTACAGCAAATACCATCAGCTACCATCACTCTGCTGCAACCACCTGTTCATCTTACTTTGCAGCGCCGTCACCTCCATGGCCGTCGAAGATGCCGTAGAAGCTCTGCTTTGGATCGCCGTTAAGATCCGCCATGGCCGTGTGGCGGTCCTCCATGTACGGGCGTCTCCCCTGCATCTGCGATACGCCGTAGCGATAATGCACGTGGGGGTTGATGGGTGGACATGTCTGCACTTCGTACGGTGCCAAGCCGGAGCGCCAGGAAGCAGCCACGTAGCGCAACACCAACACGAGCAGCAACAGCACCAATGCCTGACTTAGAAAGCTGCTGCGGAGCGTATGTGCCATGGACTGCAGACTCGCAAGGTCCAACGACGCGGCCATCGGACTGGGGGGATCAGAGTCTCTCGCAAGGGCACCCGAGCCGAGAGCGATCGTGTTGACGATGGCTGTTGAATAATGAGGGTGACAAGCTTTTGATAGAGCAAATGGACCAATCATAGAGTTTAGCGGAGTGTTTTGTCCAATAAACGCAAGCGTGTCAGTCCGACCATGGACGCGAATGAATCGCGATGTTGTCGGGTCATAGAGCACATGTATTGTTCATTTATGATCACGTTCTCGAGTGTTGGTTGCTGGATTCTATCGACGTGACGGGAATTATCCTCTAGAGTAGCAATGCGAGTTCAGCCGAGGATTCTGTCGCCGTAGGTGAGCACAAGTACATGCTCTTGGTTCATAAACAGCGAGCCAACGGTAAGTTTGGGCAGCAGCGTCTGGGCACGGTCGTTAAGCAGGAAAGACGTAAGACGACCCGAGTCGGTATCAATGGAGCACAAGATGGCAGGGGGTGTCATCCGCAGGAAGAACCTCTGGGCGTAGAGACTGTACCCCGACGCCGACGCGAAGAGCCCCACGGTGGTAGGAGGGAAGAAACTCAGCACCCCATGGAACTCTCGCACGTATTGGACACCAACCGGTTTGCTCTCGTTCTTGCACTGTGTTACAACGTCCACCTCCATATCAGGTAGCGTCCACGAACCCTGCAATGCATCCACCGTTAGCACCAAAACGCATCAGATTCCAGCGTAATCCTCACCTGGTGATCGATTCCTCCGTCGCGGGACTGCTGCGTCGCCTGCAGCTCGCAGTTAAGCGACCGCATGAGAGTCACGACTTGCTCTTCGAATGCCAGGCCTTTCTCGCGATTAGTACAAACTACGGACTTGATAACCGAGACGTCTGAGGCATGAGAGAGCTTTCGCTTAAGCGCTACTCCGTTTCTGACCTCTGGGAAGGCGCGTAGAGCCCCACTGAGGAGGCAGCAGCGCCTCCATGCCGCCGCAGTGATCCATTGCATTGACAATGACACCCGCGAATCAGTGACAGGAAAATAGTGACATGGAGCGACTTCAACTTCGTCCTTGTCATGATAACGACGTCTTTCCCTGCTGCAAACCACCGACCTGTCTACTGTTGAGGCTCGCTGAACCAGGCGAAATCGAGTTATGGACCCTCAAATGTCAGTACTCGGAAAGTGCATTGACCCAAGCACGTCGTCTTGTTCACGATGGAGTCCATTCACGGCAACTTGAGCAGGAGCAGCATGCTGCCTCTGCCCAGTCGCTTCCAAGCTCACCTTGATAAGCTGCACAAGCAGCAGGTGAAAATTCAGCAGCTGGAACGCGACAAACATGAGCAAAAAGAGCGTATCCGCGAGCTGGAAGACCAGGCGCAGCACTTGAACCAAATGCAGAAAGATCAAGACGAAACTATTGCTCAGCTACGCAGAGAGCTGGCTGACCACGACCACGAAGACCCGAAAGCAGAAGAAACAATCGACATGCTGACGAGGCAAGTGGAGAAGCTTAAAGTGAAGATAGCTCGAGCGGAAGAGGCTCAGCGTGACGCGGAAGCAGATTACATACTTCGGCACTTTGTTGGGGACGATGATGGTGCTCGTACAAGTCCTTCAACCTTGGAAGAGCCACACTCCGAGCTGACACGCGTGGCTCTTGCTGAACAGCAGAGTTCGCGTCGAGTTGGTGAGCTGGAAGCAGAACTAGAAATACTCGGAGACACTGCCGAAGCGCTGAGTCGCGAGGTACAGGACTCGAAGGAGGCTAAGCAACAACTAGAGGCAGAGCTCCAGGAGATGAAGAGCTCCAATCGTGAGCTAGAACGAGAATTGCAACAGTTGAAACGTGGAGAGGATGCTAAGGCCGTCGACGTTGTTGAAGACGAGCAATGGGAATCGATGGCGAGTGTGTGTCAAAACCTCGTAACATCTCTGAGAGCTCAGGTGAAGACCTTGGCACACGATAAGAAGGAGCTGGAGCGCGCTATTGAATGTAGTCAGCGATCGGCAAACAACCGCCTGGAAACTCTGGAACAAGACCGACAGAACGTTGAAGTGGAGAATGGTCGCCTTCGTACCGAGTTGGCTCGCTTGCGACAGGATCCTAACGCCGTGACGCTCCAATTCCCCAAGCTGGAGGAAGAGAACGTCGATGAGGCATTGGCGGAGAAAGAGATGATACCAGTCACTCAAGCACGGGTACACGAACAAGAACTTGCTATCCGAGTCCAAGAAGTCGAGCAAAAGCTTGCGGCATCACTCGATACAGCAGCTTACAATCAGCAGCTTGTGACAGAGAAGAACGAGCTCCTCCGCCAGCTGGAGGAAGAGCGTCGTCACTCGAGAGAATTAGTCTACTCAGCTGCCACTTTTAAAGAAGCGACGGAAACGGCATTGAAGCAGCTCAAGGAAGTCGAAATCGAGCTCCGTGCAATCAACAGAAGTCGCGATTCGAGTGACGAACAGCATGAGACGGTGGCAAGTTTGGCTAGACTGGTCATTACGGACCTTAAGAGGTACGGTGTTCTTGTGAAACGATGTTAACCTTTCCTCCATTGAGTGCATGCCTGGTGTAGACAGCAAGACGAGTCCGTGGACGCTGCTGTGGCGTCGATGCAGGTTCTTCATCTGACGTCCTCGCTTGAAGAGCATTTACTTCGTCTTCGAGCGCTGCGTGGGGCTCAAGACAGTTGCCTATCTGCGATGAGCAGCAGGTAGGTTGCTTGCTTGCTGTTTTGGAGAGAAGTTGATTAAAACTTTGTTGCGGCTCTTTGTGTCCAGCAGCGACCCAGAAGCTGGCAAACACACTAACGTTGCGGAGGACTACACGCTCATCCAGATCAACGAAGTCTTCCTCAGTTAAGGGCTTGGATCATTCGAGCTCTCCGAGTGCTTGCGTAAATAACTTTAATTGATTGGCGGCAAACTTCAATTTGATTTAGCCAATCGCGTAACTTTGTAAAAAAAAAAGTTTGATGCAACAACTCTTCGCTGCCGACGACAAGTTCCCGAGCGTTGTGGCAGCGCTGGAGGCACGTGGGTGGCGGCGACTCCCGTTCGTTGGCTGCCCCAAGTTTGACCTCAAGTGGACTAACTACTCCAAGATCTCGTGGTGGCGTGTGACGCCCCAGCAGATCGTCAGCCACCTGCAAAACTCAATTACCCTATCGCAGAAGGATCAACTCTTGCGGTTGCTGTACGCACGAGGCAATGAAGAGCAGATACAAGTAGATCGATGCTTCCCACGGACGTTCGATCTGAGTCAGCCACAAGAGCGTCGGCTGCTTAAGTTCTGGTTCCACTACAGCCAAGCGGTTGCTGTGCTTTTAGAAACTCTAAGAAATGGTGTGAAGGTTGACGCAGAGCAAGTGGAAGCTGCAATAAAGTTGGTCAAAACTGCTATTAGTAATCACAGTTTTAAGAACTGGAGGAAAGAGAGGACACTTGATGAGTTGATGACTGAAGAAGCTGTTGCGTGGCAGCGACAGCTGAAGAGTGGTTCAGAATCGGAGAAAGTCTCACTTGATTTCAATAGGAGACGGGAGATTGAGGGCGTTTTGAGTGAGCTGGAGCGAAGAGATCCGCAATTCCACGTGGTCGGCAATGTGTGGATCTGTAAGCCGTCGAATCTGTCCCAAGGACGAGGCATCGTTCTGTGTAGCTCGTTTGAAGAGATAGAGAAGATCACCTCGTCTAGTGGTGAGCAAGACGATCAGGGGACGGAGACAACTTCTTCGCAGATCAAGTGGATCGTGCAAAAGTACATCGAACGACCGTTGCTATTGCAAAATGACCGAAAGTTTGATATCCGCCAGTGGGTGCTGATTACCGAGCTCGAGCCAAAGCCAACGGTGTTCTGGTTCTACAAAAGCTACTTGCGTTTCTGCTCTCGTAGGTATGAGTTGACCCGACTGCAAGATCGGTTCACACACCTCAGCAACTTCTCGGTACAACAAAACTTCGAACGCGAGGAAGCACGCGGCCTCGATAAACAAAACGTTGAGACTGCTAGCCACCGTGCTGAAAGCGTGGACACTTTTGAGCCCATGTGGTCATCGGACCAGTTCCGAGATACGCTGAGGTAGCCATTCCCTCGTGACTGGGCGAGGATCAGTGGTTGACTTCTTCTTCTCTTGGTAATTGCAGACAGAAACACGGAAGAGATGTCTGGGAGGAAACAATCCTTCCCCAGATGCACAACACTGCGCGGTTGACCCTAGACGCCGCTCTGCCAAAGCTCAAGGCCGTTGGGGTCAGTACACTGTAGCTGTCATCGCTCGTGCAGCTGAAGACTAAATTGTTTCTTATGGCTTAGCGAGGCTTCGAGTGGCTGGGCTTCGACTTTCTTGTAGACGAACACCACCACGTGTGGCTATTGGAAGTCAATGTAAGCCCTGATGTCAGTCACAGCACTCGAGTCACTGCTGAACTGGTACCCAAGGCTACAACCGACTTGTTGAACGGTCCGTACTCTCCTTAGTGTGTTACTACACACAATCTAATCATTTATTATTCTGCAGTCGTGCTGGACCCCGAAACATCGCGGTCTTCTGACAACGGATGGCTGCCATTCCTGCTACAAGCTCGTCAATAAGACAACACCAAGATGTTTTGCTGCCTATCTAGGCGATCCGTGCACGCAACTCGTTCTGCAGAGTGCCATTCTCAAGCCGCACACTCTCAAGATCAGCCAGTACTTTGTCCAAATGGCTGCTGCTGTCGCGTGACTCGAGCTGCGAGATCCAGTTTTGCAGATCACGAGCTGCGTTTTCCTTCTTCCCCACATCCCCCACGACCACAATGAGCTCTTCGAACAACTCACGCACTTGCGCAAACTTGCGGTAACATTCCACGTATGCGTCTGCTTTAGTGCTGCTGGTACTTTTGCTCGTACTGGCGGCGCTGTACAGCTTGTCTTCGGCCACTGCTTCCGTCCGTTTGAGCCTCTCCGACGCAGTATTGAGCTGCTTTTGAAGCCCCTTGATGTCGTCCAGGATCTTGGCGATGTCCTGCTTCTGCTTGTGAACTTGCTTGATGATATCCATGATACGGGACGTGTACATGTTGCGAGTCATGGGGCCATCAGCGTCTTTCTTCTGGCCGAGTTTTGCCAACTGTCGCTCCTGTACCCTCTCTAGAGCCTTGAGACTCTCCATCTTGGACTGAATAATGCCACTGATCTCGAGCATCTCGGCTCGAAACGCCTTCATCTCGCGAATTAGCTGGCGACATCGAGCTTTGCGACTCGATTTCTGGCCTTCCAATGCAGCATACTCCAGGAGTAGAGGTCCTCGTGCGCTCCCCATCTGCTGCGATATCTCGACTTTCTTCTCTGCGTTCGACTGGCAAATTGCCTCGAGTTTAAGAATGTTCGCTTGTGCCTGCGGGAGCATCGCCAGAAGTTGTTTCTGCCTTGCGAGTTGCTTTTGTAATTCTTGTCCGGTGGATTGTGTCTCGAGAACGTGCTGCTCGACTTGCTGCAGGTGTCCACGTTCACGATCGAGCACTTTGCGCATCGCAGCAATACGCCGCTCTGTATCATCCACCTGCTTCTGCACCTCGTCCAGTGATTGCTCCTCGTTGTCGTTGGCTGTTTGCAAGACAGCGAATTGACTTGCTCCGATGCTGGCAGACCCAGTCGAGTCCGTCGTGGCGCCTTCTGTAGCCATCGTATCCGTAGTTCCTGACGATGGATTATTTAGCGAAAGCGGGACGTCCGGAAGTGCACTCGAGAGGAACGTTTGGGGCTCAATAGTCGCGAATTCGTCGTCCTCTGCTTCCGCTTCTTGTGGCGATAAGAAGCCACTTTCTCCAGCTCTTGTTGCGTCCGTCAGAAGTCCCTCAACCTGTCCTTGTTTCAGTTGAGCATCCACGTTATCCTCCTCTACGTCATCGTCAAACTCATCTTCTCGAAGGAACATTGTGGAGCCACGCTTCGCCACTGCTAGGGCCTCTAAAAGTGACGTCGCCTTGATGGAATCGCTTGAAAATTTCTCAAACAAATTGTGTGTCGATTTTCCAGGTCTGCTCCATGGCAGTTCCAGTGGAGAAGTCTGCAAAGGCAGGCGCTGAAAGCCTCGCAGTCCCTGGACATTTTGATTCGGTAACATATGCAGCGTCTTCTCTCGTTTCCAGCTCGAGAAAATGTTTGCTAAGCGATCACTGGCCAGGACTGAAGCTGCAGCTTCCGCTATACTGCTATTAGCTCCCATTGAGGCCAAAACTTCACTTTTGCTGACCTCGTCCTCATTCTCCTCGTGCTTGGACCTCGGTAGCTTCCCCACTAACCACGACAAAATGTTCCTCGTCTCCTTCTCGCTCGGATACAGGAAGTGGTTGTAGCCACAATCTCCAGCGTACCCCAGCTCCTGCAAAAGTGATAATAGAATTAGAAATTAATATTTGAAGTTGTATAATATATGACAGCCACTATAAACTATGACATACCTTAAGGATATTGGCGAGCTGAGAGCCCACGCGATGTCGCGCCGCAACACCCACGGGTGCCTTGGCCTCTGTACATGAAAGCGAAAAGTTTACGCCGTTGTCTGCGTCCTGTAGACGCGCCAGGAACTTGAGCACGAGGACGATGAGAGCGTCGGACGAAAGATCCGCCACAGACCAGGACGCGTCTGCTTCTAACCTGAATATATCAACCAAGACACAGCGTCAAAACACATGCAGGCAACAGAAGGAGAAGCTCAGTACATTATACAACATAATGGAGCTGGTCATACACCAGGTACTCACCAGCCGCTCTGCTGCAGCGCCGCGGAGATGAAGGCGTCTGCTTCCGCCATGACACGTTTGATTTGATATTAGGAATAGGCTTCAACCCTCCACAACTTGATTGATGGCTAAATAGCTACCCCTCCACAAACCGATCCACCGACCTTTCAGATCTAAAAAAACGTATCTTAATTGCGACGCTTCGTGCGTACAGACACCGTAACGGGCAGTTCCCGTTTAACTTAGAACCATGCAGCAGCCCGAGTGCGAGCCCCTCGCCTACCACGACGATATCACTCCTCCCAAGCCTGAAGACGTCAAGCAAAACAATGATGAGAGCGAAGTGCAGCAGCTGAGAGATCGTTTGGCAGCACAGGAGCTGTTGACACAGCAGCTACTAAAGCGCGAACAGGAGCGAGAGACCGAACGCGAGTTTATGAAGAGGAGCGTGCTGTCCTTACAGCAGGACCTTCTTCGTCTCATGAACATCGTGGACCTGCAGATGCAGATCCCGTCCATGCACATGCAGATGCAGCTTTCGCCTATGGCTACAGGCGTCGAAATGGCGTTTCGAGGACTCTCGCCGCGATTCCCAGCCAGAGGCTGCATCGGTCCAAGTCCAACGGGACACAGAGTAGCCAAGAAGCGAAATGCTGAGAGTGACGAGGCTCAAGCAGTGGCGGCATTGGTCTCGCCTGCACGCGATGCTGCGATGTTGATGGACATGTCACCGCAGAGTAAGCGCGTCAAGACGTCGTCCACGTCCAATAACAAGCTGAGTAAACGTCAGTGGAGCCCTGAGGAAGACGAAGCATTGGAGCTCGCCATTCAATCAACGGGGGCCAACGATTGGTCGGCTATATCTCGACTGCTGCCTGGGCGTTGTGGGAAACAATGTCGGGAGCGATGGGTGAACCACTTGAGTCCGGCAGTGAACAAAGAGGCCTGGACAGAGGAGGAAGACGAACTCATCTTCACGACACGCGACCGCATCGGCAATCGCTGGGCCGAGATCGCTCGTTTGCTGCCTGGACGGACGGACAACGCGATCAAGAACCGCTACTACTCCACCATGAGACGCCAGGGGCGTCAGCTCCGTGGCAACAAGAGCAGATCCCCGGACTCAATGTCCGAGACCTCTGTGACCGATGACAAAGCCGGCGTCATGTCAGGATCCTTAGTGTCCTCGGAGACAAGCGCGGCTGAACTGCCCATGGAAAACATTTAAAACATCAAGACGATGCGTCTTTGCAAATGTATAAAACCATTCTAATGAACGTTTCACTTGTTGCATTCAATCTGTGGCACGTGAACAGTCGGTCGTAGGAGCCAAGCATGAGTCGACCTGCAACGCCAGCTACTGCTGGATCAGTAGCGTCTTCGTCAGTCCCAGGCAAATTCCGGTGGCGTGTCGATGCCGAGAAGAATGTGGTGGTGTGGAACTTTGAGCGTCGAGGGTGGACCAAGACCGAAGGCGACGACTGGAACATCTACTGGGCCAGCAAGACCACTATAAAAACCATCTTCAACCCGGAGACTGGGGTGCGCCTAGTGGACGGCCAATACATCAACCATTTTCCAAACCACTACGAACTCACTCGCAAAGATCTCATGGTCAAGAACATCAAACGCTACAGGAAGGAGATGCTAGCTGCAGCTCACGCCACGACGACAGAAGCGGGTAGTCCAACGCTGTGCTCTACCGACTCGCTAGACTTTTTCCCGACTACATACACGCTGCCTGCAGACTATTCGCTGTTTGTTGAGGAGTTCCGACGCAATCCGAACGTCATGTGGATCATGAAGCCATGTTCTCAGGCACAAGGCAAAGGGATTTTCATCATTAATAAGCTCTCCCAGACCAAAAAGTGGGCCAACCAACGCTGGACGAACATGCCTATTAAGGAAGGATATGTGGTCTCACGGTACATTGAGAACCCGTTGCTTGTCGGAGGGAAGAAGTTCGATCTGCGTATGTACGTACTAGTACTGTCCTATCGCCCTATGCAGGCGCTAGTGTACCGTGAAGGGTTTGCTCGCTTCTGCAATGTAAAGTACTCGGCTGCTGTGGATGACATGGACAATCCGTTCATGCATCTCACGAACGTGGCTGTGCAGAAGAACAATGAGGACTATAACAGTAACCACGGAGGGAAATGGAGTGTGTCCAATCTGTGTCTCTATGTCGAAGCCACACGCGGCCGTGGAGCAGGAGAAAAGCTGCTTCGAGACATCCACGGTGTCATGTTGCACGCGCTCAAAGCAGTACAGAACGTGATCATCAACGATCCTCACTGCTTCGAGTGTTATGGCTACGACATCATCGTGGACGACAATCTCAAGCCGTGGTTGGTGGAAGTGAACGCATCTCCATCCCTTACGACCACGACACCCGAGGACCGCAGTATGAAGAGTCGACTGCTTCGAGATGTACTCGAGCTAGCAGTGGCAGCAGATGCCGGACCCGATCAACGTCGGACTGTTCTCCCCCCACCCACACTCAGTCCAACGTCAGGCTTTTCGTGGCTGTTAAATGAAACGACTCAACTCGAAGCTGATCGATTGAAAGCCGACGCACTTCGTAGAAATGCGAAACGAGCATCAAGTGCTCAATGGCGGTAAAAAAAATTGGATTAAAACTAAGCAATGAACAAAAAAATTGTATTCCTAGAATTGGGCAGTTTTTCATGAAAAGGTAAGGAAACTATTTCTAAACCGTCGACACCTGCAGTCACTTCACAGTGGGAATATCGACATGGGATCGGAGAGGAAATTAGAGAGGAAACTACGTCGCAAGGAAGAAAAGAAGGGGCTTGTCGATGGAGATGAAGCCTCCAGCAAGGTCGATCTAGCGCCTGGTGATCTGGAAGATCAGATTGTCCCAGTAGACGACGCTACTTCTGATGGATCTGTCGCTCCAGCGGAGTCAATAGATCAGGGAAAAGCCCAACGGGTAATGCCGATCGGAGAACTGCCCTCTCGTCAAAAACCCAAGACGGCACGCAAGAAAAAGAAGAAAGTGGAGGAGGAACTGGAAGCCGAACCCGTTGAGTTTCGGATTAACGGCATTTTAGTGGACCGCGACGTGAAAGGAGGGGCTAAGAAAGAGTGGATGGGTGTCTACATGGTTCTCTTCAGGACGAGCACGCCGATGGGCCAACGAGTGGCCTTCATCCTCATTGGTCTAGTGACCATCAGCGTCTCGGTTGGTACGTAGTCAATATCCAATTATCTGCTTGAAAATTACCGATGATATTGACGGTCTTTGAATGTAGCTGTCCTGGATAGCGTGAAAGAAATTCGGTAGGGCTTTCCTAAAGTTCGTGATGACAAATTCTATTATTCACGTTGAACTTTGTTCGGATTCCTAGAGACCGAGCTGGTAATTACCTGTTGGCAACGGAGTTTGGCTTCACGGTTCTCTTTACGATCGAGTATGGACTTCGCATCGCGTGTCTGCGCAAACCGGGCAAGTTCATCTTCAGTCTCTTGGGATTCGTGGACATGTGCGCTCTTGTTCCCTCGTACGTCGGCTACGTTTTCCCGGAGGCGCGTCCACTGCTCCACTTGGCAGTTCTGCGTATCTTCCGTGTGATGCGAGTCTTCCGGCTGCTGCGGCTCGCTCGATTCGTGGATGCAAGCGCTGCTCTGACCGAAAATATCGATACCAATCGACGAAATATTGCCGTCTTTCTGGTCGCATTGTTCACGGTCATCCTCGTCATTGGATGTGCCATGTACCTTATCGAAGGGGACCGTCAATTTGGTAATATTCCCGTTAGTCTTTACTGGACGGTGGTGACTATTACGACCGTGGGGTACGGAGATATCTCCCCCCAGACGATCGTCGGGCGAATTCTAGCCACTCTCGTCATGTTTGTTGGCTACGGAATCATCGCCAGCCCCACGCTACTAAGTGCGCCGCCATCGGCCCCCGCTACATCGGAGATTGTCGACTGTCCCAAATGCACTAAAGTGCTCGAGTGTGTACGGTGTTTCCAGAAATTTCATCAAGAAAGCGCCAATTTCTGCTGCATGTGTGCGGAGCCACTGCGCAAGCCTGAGGTCAGAGCCCTACGAGCAAACGGAGAAGAGCGGAGACGGACACCGAAGCAACGGGCTTCGATTACAGGCGGGACTGGGTTTCCAAAGACTCCTACATCGCCCCCAGCGCCTTGCGAAGCTACTGGTACAAACATTTCGGGTGTCGGTGAGACGAAGCCGGTAGACAAGGTGTTTGCTCCGAGCGAAGAAATGAAATCCGAAGAAACCACAACTATAATTTGCTAACACCGTAGTGCACTCTTCTCTCAGCAATTAATGTAAGTTGAAATGCATTGAATGGGTTCTCTGATTCTCATGGAAATGGCTACGGGGCGAGCATAATCATGTCTTCCTCCTTGCGTAGCATGGTGAGAGACGAATCGAGGTTGATCACGCCCAGCAATTTGCTGAGTCGAACTACGTAGACTTTTGTCCACGCGCTCATCGCAGCGATCTTGTGAACCCGGTAGAGGTTCACATCCTCAGATACCTATGGGCATGATAGGAATCTTAGTCTGAATAACCCAAACGCTACACGTTCTGGATGAATCTCTTACCTGAGGAGGATAACTCTCGATAGGGACCGAAGTGAAGGCGTACTCGTGAAATGGTGGACCCAACTCCAGCTAAGAAAAGTATTATGAAAATGTCCTTGTCAGAGTTTATAAAAAGACAACATAAAAGACAGATGAAGGATCATACCGGACTCGAAAGCGAGGTTGCATCTTTCGGCTGGAACTCGACAAGTGAATAATCCTCCACCATGGCGCTTTTCTTCTTGTCAATGTCGAGAATATTTGACACTAACTTCTGCACTCTTAGCGAAACGTTTGGGTCCTTGGCGTCAGGCATCTTTAAAAAGCAGGAAAATCAAGATTATTTATTACACAAGATATGCCGTACTACTAGACGTAATGACAAACACGTACCTGTTTCCGGTGTGCGGCAATGAATCGAGCAACCGCAATCTCAAGATCATAGCGTCGAATGCATCCCTATACAAGAGAAACGTGTGAGCATCTAACAGAAACAAGGACGCACGAGATGTCTACTTACGATGAGTAGCTGAGTCTCAGTGCTGTCACATAGCGGGAAATACTCCTCCTTCTTGTGAGTATTCTGGATTGCACCACAATTGATCGTAAATATTATAATTTCAATCCCACTGACGCATGGTTCATCTCCTTACCAGAGCTTGAATTGCCTCGTCGTACGTCGTCTCCCTCGTAAAGAAAACTGGCACAGGACTCATATAGTCCACTGCAATCTTTTGACTCAGAACATGCTCGTTCAAGTCGTAGCAAACGGAGTGAAGCCCCGCCCAGCCCGCCAAGATGTCGTAGATGGAAGGCGAAATAGCACCGCATACAAAATACGCCACTGTACACGCCGTCATGACGGGAACCATGTGACTCAACTGAGACGTGAGTTCAAAGAAAATCACAGCCGTCGACACTGTCTGGGTAGCCGACGCTGCAAAGCAAGCGGCCCCCACAACTGCGTACGTCGCTGGCGACTGTGTTGGATTCCAGTATCTCATGAGAGTCTCTCCGTACAGTCGACCAACTGCCGCACCGATTGCGAACAGAGGCCCGAAGACGCCCACAGAGATCGGCGCTCCACACGGCAGCAGAGAGATCAGAAACTTGAGGATAATGTAGACGAAGAGCGTCACTTGTGGGTACTCTGAGATCTGTTTCCACTGTGGGAAGCTCAGATTCTGGTCACGGAACACTTCGTTGACAATCGACCGATCCGACAGGCGCATGATGCCCAGAGGATACGTCAAGATCGTCGACGCCACACAAATCGAGACGATGTGGACTGTTCGGCGCTTGAGGGAGGGTCCATTCAGACCAAGCTTGGCGAACAACCTCATTTGCGCCCATCGAAGCACCACAGCGAGGCGACAGAAGATCCCGGCGCCAATCTGAATAACAATAAAAAAAAAATACTTAGTGGAACTTTGTGAGCGAAGTATCGTTCCAGTTCGTACGCCAGTGACGACTCCTAACAGCACGAAGGCGAAGATCTCGTAGTCCATATCGAAACCAGCGAACGTGGTGCGCTCGAAAAGCACGTCTCGTTTGATAAATGTGATGACGTTGAAGACCAAAATGCACACGGAGGAGCAGATAATGCCTTCCCACAAGCACTTGATCTCGTAGTACTTGGCCGTGACTTCAATACTGAAGAGCAAACCACCCAGCGGGGCACCGAAGTTGGCAGTCGTGCCACAAGCCACAGCTACACAAACACAAGTCAACAGTCAAAAACCTGGTAAACTGTTGATATCAGCAGCTCATCGTACCTGCTCGAATGAAATTGTAGTTCTCCTGGCCAAAGTTGACGCGACGGAACAGAGCCATTTTATTCATGAGGTAGCCGACCATAGCCATGAGGTGGGTGAATGGACCTGCTCGACCGATGGACAAGCCACTACCCGACGCGATCACGGTGCTTAGCGACTTGGCGACGAGAGTGCGGAACGACAGCATGTCTCCCGGGTTCTGGTACACCCCTGCAAACAAGGCACGCATAACGGGGATCCCAGAGCCATCGGACGCTGGAGAGATGAAATAACCGCAGCAAGTCGCGAGCATGGCCATTGTAACACACCAGCATAGCCAGCATAGAAACCCGGCAAACGAGTCGGGCCCCACAGACTCGATGAGCGCACGACGGAACTTGAAGAGCGCCCGGACCCAGTTGTCGACCAGTAAACTGCACAAACAAGCAAACTGAGCTTTCAGTACCAGAGTCGAGATGACGGTAGGAATTTCTAGAACGCACCCGTAGGCTGCAGCCATGGAACCGAGAAGAACCAGGAAGAGCCACGTGATCGGAGAGTTTGGAAGCTGCTTACACAGCCGAAGCGAACGAACGCAGAGTTGCCGCATAGTCAGCTCGACTAATGGCCGTTCACCCCGCAACAACTTGTCGTAGTGCTCTGGCGAGTTCGCTCGAAACCACACATCTGCACGAATCCAGACAATTGTCAACCACAAATGTTCACAGGAAAAAAAACGAGTTGAATGGAAGATACCATAGTTGCCACGCATGGTTGTGCGAACACTGAAACCCCCGCTTGGTCGGTCTCTAATTGAGAAAAGAGAGGACAGCGAGACGGTCGGTGGGGCTTGGCCGTTGGTCTCCGGCGTCCGTTTCAATGCGTTTCCTCGGTGGAAATGATCAAGAGGAATGTTACGTGGACAAATGTGGGTCTTCGATAAAAAAATAGTAGTATTTGAACAGCATCAATCTAGTTTACATCACACTCTACTTCGTTTCCGATACATGTTGCATTCGTCTACTGAAACGACTCCATTGGGGCAACGGGAGCAGCTGCGGTCAGGAGATTGTTCATCACGTTGACAATCAGAGCAGAGCCGCGACTAGCGAATTGCGTCACGAGCTCCTGCATCTGCACGTGGCCGCGCTCACCGATGAAGTTTTGGGACAAATCCAGCAGTGCTAGAGGAGAAGCGTCGTAGCGAGGCAGTGCAATGGCATCGTAGAGATCCATGACGCCATCGTCCGAGATGCAGTTGCCGACAAGGGACAGTGTGTGTAGTCGTGGAAAGTTGCTCGATGGACCTGCCAATACGGTGGCAATCTGACTCGTGACATGGTCTTTTAGGCCTTCAGAGTAGCAGAAATTGAGCGATAAAACCTCCAGCTTGGGCAACTGTGCGGTGCTCAGCGCACGCAGCATAGTGCGAATCAGCACATTGCGAGCAACGAGCGTCTTCTCGTCCTGGAAATTGAACTGCTGCGCTTGCATCCGACCCGACAACGAAAAGCTCTTTAGGTTGGGGAACCGCTGAAAGAAAGTCGAGCGGGTAGAAGACGACAGCTTCATCATCTGTACAGTCGTTACTTCAATAGAGGTCACGAACGCTGGGAGTTGAGAAGCGGCTTGCGAGCTCGTTGCAGCACACTGCAGCACGTCTCTGGCCCCCAAGAACGAGCACACATGCTGCAATAGATCGCGGTTGCCGTCAAAGAAGAGCGAACTGGTGGATGCAGCATCAGCACGTACATACCGAGCGCGCTTTCCAACGGATTGCTCGTCACTCGAGCCCTTGCGCTTGCGAGACGCAGCACTGTCCTCCAATTCCATAGCAAACGCCGCATCTTCCAGTGCTGCGAGGTTGTTCAGGTGCAGCTTGACCACGAGCGAGTGGAGACGACGGCTGAGTGTCTGTGGGTTGCGGTATTCCCAAGCTGAGAAGGCCTGACTGTACAGTGCCAGCTCAGCGCGACGTCCGATGTACGAGATCTTGGCGTCCACTTTACCGTACTTTTAGTCAGTAAAGCAGGAAATGATACTGCTGGGTTGGCCCCCAACTTGGCGCGTGGGTACATGTATAATACATGGGTAATACATGATGTACATGTACATGTATTACCCAGATTACCCACTAGGCACATAATCAGTTGCCCGTTGAATTTCAACTTGAAAGGAAGTCTGTCAGCGTTACTATTACTACAATCACATGGATGACAAGAGCGCCATTCGTCCAGCTGCAGGATGGTCATCTTGTCATCTTGGTGCTCCCCTGTTGAAGTCACACACGTTAATGGATGCGTCCTGCTACATGTACATTAGCTTGGCAGCGCTTCATGGCCTTCATGAATTTATCCACCGGATGATGTCAGGACTACCACCACCATTCAACCTGTCAACTTACAGCAGATACGGTGAGATATTTGGAAATGTTTTAAGCTGCGTGAGCAAGACTGAAGCCTAAATGTAGCTGGCACAGCTCTCTTCTTTCAGCTTTTTTTACATTTAAATTTTACAAAAGAAATCTTATTTAAAAAAAAACTTTAGCTAACCCGGTTCTGAAAGTATGGCGAACGCTGTTAACGGTGGCGAAGGTATCAGCAACGCTCACGCGTACCTGGGCGACCTGGAGACTGTAGATCACCGCCAGCTCTCAGTCTTTCCCGGTGGCAAGGTGCTTACACTACCACTGATCTACCTACCCGATATCGTACGCACAGGCTGCTCATTGAAACCTGTCGAAAATGATGCTAACATCTCTCAGGTTCTGTTTCCAGGCGATGATCTGCCACTCCGGATGCTCTCGGACTCGATGATCATTGGCATCCGTAATTTACTATCACATGAAGGTGCGCTGCTGGCCGTGCTGCCTCCACACCAGGCTAGCACGCAGTATGGGGTCACTGTTCGAGTTGAGAGATTCACTGTGGAGGATCACAGTGCGGCGATGACTGGGGCTGCGAGACAGCGCTTCCGTTTAGTTAAGAGACTACGATCGGAATCGAGCGCTGCGATTTTGTGGGGTGAAGTGGAGATCTTACCGCAGGACAGAGCTCAGTCGATCCCATTCGACAACTTGTGCTGGCATCGAGAAGACGAGAAAAAGGAGAATGAGACGAGCAAGAAGAGAAGTCTGCGGAAACTCCGTGGACGACAGTACCCAGCGTACTGGGGGTGCAGTACATATGCGTTGTATGATGCACGGGTTCTGGTGCAGAAGATTCAGAACATGCTGCTGTCCAATATCCACGGCGAATGGTTTCGCAAACCGCGAACGGACCGATCAAGAGCACCAAATGGTGAGGAAGAAGACGAAAAGTCGTCATTGGTGCACTATTTGGCGCTGCCAAGCGACCGACAGGACCCGAACCTGTTCGCGTACTGGGTGGCTGGAAACTTGCCGCTGGACACGACTCAACGACTGAACTTCTGAGTATGAACTCCACCGTGCGGCTGCTGCGCAGGAGATCGAACTTCTGGAACAGGTTGAGGAGGATATTTACTGCTCCATGTGTGGCACTTTCCTGGCGAATACTCGAGAAATCTTCAGCATGACGGCACGCGGTGCCGCTGGAGGCACGTTCGTTAACCCTGGCGGCCACGTCTTCCAAGTGTTGACGCTGCGCGAGGTGGACCGTGCACATGTCTTCGTGGATATGACGCGCAGTACGGAGGACACGTGGTTTGCAGGATATGGATGGAGCATCACGCATTGTAACTCATGCTATCAACATCTTGGCTGGCGCTTCGACCGAGTGGACTCGCATGGACTACCTGCTACTTTCTTTGGCTTTCGACGAGCAGCATTAACGCGATCTCGAGGCTCTCGACGAGTTGATCCTCGATCGATCGGCTTGGACGGATACGATACGGAGGACTACGAGGAGTCGATAGCGTCCAGTGATGGCTCGTCGGCTAATAGCGAGGAAATGCATTTGCTGCTGAGTACAAGTACCGGTACAGAATAACGCAAAAACACGCTTGGAGCAACGCCAAATCAGTTGATGCTTGTCACGCAGCTAGAGCGTTGAGGTTCAGCTTGCTGCGTAATGTGTCACCATTCTTGGGCATGACGGCGATGTCACACCTCTCAGCACGAATAAGCGCTAGGTGAGATTTATAGACCTGCACAAGAGCGGAAACGTGAAAAGCAGCGGTGACTCGGGCGAATTGATTAATCCGCCTCCACCTTCACGCTGTAACACCGTCGACGTAACCGTACATAGCCTTCCATCATCAGTCGCAGGACCACGCGCTCTTCGCCGTAACTGAGCTGACGTAACGTACGTAGTAGATCGATATTTTGGTGTAGTCGCCCCAGAGTTGCCCTGCGTTGCCAGTCCAGGTCCCGTTGCAGAAGCTGACAAACACGCAAATCTGCAGCGATTCCGTGCTTACGCGTCACGTTGCTCCTTCATCAAGGCAAGGTATCCTTCCTAGTGCTGCAAGCTGCATGGCTTGGCGCTGTCGGATGCACCTTAAATGTTGCTGTTAGGGAAGGTGGAGGCGGAAGCGAGGCCAGACGGGTGCGTAATCGAAAGAGTGAATGTCACTTCAACCAGCTCGTCGTTGTGATTGGTCAATGTAATACACTTGAAGAATGTATCCCAACATCACCTTCCGTTGCTGCAAGTCACACAGCAGCTTCCGTTGATCAGCTCGAAGTTTAAAACCCGCTGCATTCCATAAAGTCTGCTTATTAGTGCGCGACTTCAACCTGTTGGCGGGTGTACGCTTGCTCAAGCACCAGCGTCCTCGAGTAGAGGCCCTCAACTCAAAGCTACTGGTGATTTGCCAGGCGGCGTGTTCTAGATAGCCTGCAATTGGCCACCTTTTCATCACACTAGTGAAATACAAAACGACTGCTTCATCATCATTTTTATTGCTTTAGTGTATGGAAGCAAGGTAATACAATGAGGTGCTGAGGCAAGCGGTGGATCTCATCCTTCGCCAGCCGCGCTTAGCCCGAGCATTGCTTAGTTGTCCGAAACGATCCACGTGTCAAGGGCACGCTCGTAGTTGCTGGCTTCCTCGGGGGTGAACCACATAGTGATCTCGTGCTTGGCCGAGTCGGGGCCGTCCGAGCCGTGCACGAGGTTGCGGCCCGTGGAGATGCAGTTGTCGCCACGCAGAGTGCCGGGGGCAGCCTGGTTGGGGTTGGTCGCGCCCAAGATCTTGCGGCCGGTGAGGATCACGTCCGTGCCCTCCCACACCATGCACACGATGGGGCCCGAGGTGAAGTACTTGACGAGACCCGGGAAGAAAGAACGCTCCGACAGGTCGGCGTAGTGGGCCTTGGCGCGAGCCTCCGTGGCGGTCATAAGCTTTAGCGCCACGAGTTTGTAGCCTTTCTTTTCGAAGCGGCCGATCACCTCGCTGATCAGACCGCGCTGCACGCCATCGGGCTTAATGGCAATGAACGTGCGCTCCTTGGAGGTTCCGGGCACGCCACCCAGAGGCGTCGAGGACTGGACAGCAGCCTTGTTCTCAGCCACGGGGGCAGCGCTCAGGGCCAGGGCCGTCACACCAGCAGCGGCAGCCACAGCAAGAACTGGGGCCTTCACGGCCGAAGCGGCACGAGCCTGGGTGGTGAAGGTGCGGGTGGCACTGCGCTTGGCGGCGGAGGCGACACGGCGGGACATGCGGGAGAACATCATGGATCTGGTGACGAGGAGGAGTACGTGCGACGAAGAGAGCAGAAGCACAAGTGAGCTGTCTGCAGTCTGTGGTGGCAAACCGAGGGGGTGCCGACGACCGCGCGTCACTCGTCCTGTCGTTACTGTACTTTCGGAAATTGATACAAACACTGCGGCTCTAGTCGAGTAGCTTGAGTAAAGTAAGTAAAAGGCCCGTGAAAACACATTCCCTTATATAAATGGATTTGCTGTGGAGCAACACCACTTGCAGAGTATCCGAAACATTATTGGCTAAAACGAATTAGAAAGGGGTGAATAATAAAGCAGCAAATATCCTTTGGCTGGTCATCGCAAACGAGCAAGATGAGCCCGACGGAAGAAGAAAAGAAGCAGCAGGCCGACGCGGGCTCCGATGGCGAGGAAGAGACGCCGCAGGAGCAGGTGAAGAGCAAGAAGGATGAGAGTAACGCCATGGAGAAGCTCACGGACCTCGTTGAGGAGAAGCAGATGGACGAAAACAAGATGAAGGCGGCTTTCCAGGCGCTGCACAAACAGGAAGAGGCGGACAAGGAGGCCGAGCGCCTTCTGGAGAAGAAACTAGCGGCCGTCAAGGTCAGCAAGGAAGATGTGGCGCTAGTGGCGCAGGAAATGGAGATCTCCACGCAACAGGCGGACCGCAAGCTGCGCGAGGTCGACGGAGACGTCGTCAAGTGCCTCAGTGCGCTAATCTCCGCTTGATTCCGCGACCCACTGACGAGCTGATATTATCTGCGGTAGATGCTGGGGTTCAATAGACAGTGACGCTTTTGTTTATTATGTTTCATCGACAATAAGGGGGTTTATTGCTTGTTAACTAACACGTTGGCAATGGAATATTACACTACAGATCTGCTGATTTCTACCTGCTCATTGAGGAAGTGCCAAACCGGAGGACACAGCTCTTCGCGCTTGGGACTTCTGAATTGTACTCATCATGCGTTCTAGCTGCATGTTCTTCATGTCGACGTGGCCGGGGCGCAGAACTTGCAGCGAGTCTCTGAAATGGTGACAGGCGGCGATTAGCCTGGACCCTTTTCGTTTGGTGTGTGGGTCTAGCGTTTCGACGAGGTTCTGGAAGTACAGACTCTTTTTGAAACGAGGGAAACTGTCTTTCACCATGAGCCGCATGATCTCGTCGCACGCCTCGTCGAAGAACGTGGTCTCCACGATAGCAGTGGGAGATAACTTGTCCATCTGCTCCAAGATGCCGTCGCGTATACCTGCAGGGAGATTCACCTCTTTCGGGGCGTCGGACTGGATATATCGCTCTCGAATATGGTTCGACACTACCCGTCGCTCATTACTGTCTTCTATCACGCGGAACTTCTCAATCTCCAGGAAGAACAGATAGTTCTCGTCACTGTGTTCGGATTCGAGAAATGCCTGGAATCTCTGTGTCAAGAGACCGTGACGTAAGACGCTGGCAAAGTCGCAGCGCTCACCGAACCAAGCAATATTTGCTGCGGCCCCAGCAGCTGGAAACTCTTCAAACAACCTCAAGATCTTAATGAAGGAGCAAGTCAACAGAACTGCAGAGGACCGTGCGAATGCCTTCCCTTTACTCACATTCATGCGCTCAAAGGTGAAGGGGCCCAGATAGCATCCTGGAGTGAGGAAAACGGAGCTGTCGTGTCCGAACTTGCTGGTTTTTCGGTGATTAGACGTGATCTCCACCGCTCCGTACACTATAAACACAAACTTCGACTCGTGTGCATCGTTCTCGTCCAGTTGACGCAGTACAATGTCGCCTTTGTGCACCTGATCTTCGATGTCAAGTTCGTTACTGAAGCGGATCATTCTCTCGTTGGGTATCGAGTCGAAGAAGGGCAGCACTCCACTCAAGATCGCCTTCAATAGAAGCCTCTCCTTCAGTAGTTTATCCACGCCCAGGCGTGCGTCGGGACACTGATCCAATAAACTATGGAAGGCTTTTTTCTCGATGCTCATCAACATGCAGCTTTCAAGCGCCTTGACAGTTGCAGCACGTGGGATGTTGATCAGCAACGACATTTCGCCAAAGAATGAACCTGCCTCTAGCTTCGCTAAGGGCCCAGTAGCCCGTGAGCTCGTCACCTCGACAGAGCCAGCTAGAGTGACGAACATTTGAGTACTGATCCCTTCGTCTTCACGGAAGATGACGCTGTCGCTGGGATATACGCGTATTGTCGACATTTCCGTGAGCATTGCGAGTTTTTCTTTGGGGAGATTCGCGAAGAATGGTATGGTGCTGAGTAGACCGATAAAGTCTGCGTTAGTGAGAGCGTTTAGTGACGAGTCCTTCTTGTCATCGGGTAAGGACCGAGGTGGCAGCAGCAAATACCGCGATTGATTCTGCAGCTCCACTCGAGCACACATGGTGGACTGCAGTACAACCTCGTCACCCCCTCCGTCAGTCACATATCGACAGATAACTTCCTTTTCGGATTTCCAGAAGAGAAAAACTTCAGATGTTAACAGGACTTCGCTGTCATGTAAGTGAGGATCAACCTCATACACGTGACTGGGTGAATGAGGTACCACAACATGGATACGACCGAGAGGCATGAATGCACGGATGCTTAAGGTGTTTGTCCCGTTCGAGTCAAAGAGACTCGCGCATCCATCGAATATGACAGCAATCTGGCCGGATTGGGCTGCGATGGATGCACGATGGCTAGAGGACTCCGCTTTTCGTAACGTAATCGCTTGAGTGCTGCTGTCTGCACCGATGAGTTGGAGAAACAAACTGCCATCGAAGACCCGGCGAACCTCAACGTATCGATGCGCTTGGGTACCGCAAACACAGCCCATACTCCCAGAGGCTTCACAGCACGCTTAGTGGCACGTACGCAGCAGATGATGACTTCCGTCTCGATAGTACTCAGCTCATGTCCAGGATGACTCTATTTTCGACGGAACAGTCTCGTACAACTACCGAAGCCGAGAATATCTGTTTACAGCTCGTAAAATTTCTAAATTGGCGTAACTTATCAAGTTTTTTCGCCTCGTCAAACTCTGCAAAGCAGCTAGAAGTTCGGTAACAAGATGTGATGTATGCTCTTCCGAGACTACAACCACATGAACGAAAGCGAGTCTCGGTCGTCCTAGATGGCAGCTTTCCATTTATACCTAGACCGAGATTCCCCGCCCAGATCACTGTCCACCTATTTCCGGGCAATGCTCGTCGTTTCGTAGCCGTAACTCCTTTTTTGCTCGGCCCCGTTGGGCTGAATATTGACCACGACCCGCGTGAACAGCATTTCGTGCTCCGGTTCAACGCTCGGGACTTTCGAGACTTCGTCCGTCCCGAACGTGCTGAGGCATCTATCAGGCAGAATTAAGCGCGGATTTGCGGTCGCGCCGATAGCTTCTGGTGGTTCCTTGGAAAAGGATGCGTTTGCGTTGATTCCCGACATTCCCCGCACGACAATGACTCCTCCACCAGAAGCAGAAGCCCCAGCAACGATAAAGCCGCCGGCCACCCACACACCCGAATACTCAGAAAAACCTTTACAAGTCGATCTCAAAAGACGATTGGGCTTCGTTGAGCCCCCAAAGGTACGCTACTGCAGACGGGAAATCCACGTCTCAAGGGCGTAGAACTAACTTGAATCTCTGGTGCTTTCTCTAGCGATTCGGTGCCGATTATCTTTTCTTCCGTTTCTTGTCCAGAGAACATAAATTACGCCGCTGGTGCGTGCAGATAGTCTCCCACAAATACTTCGATCGATTCATCATTGCCGCCATTGTGGCCAACTCAGTCATCCTCGGATTGTCCGATTTCTCCGTCGTGGACTCGGATCTGAACCCTGCAAGTACCGGGAAATTGTATCAAGGCGGGAAACTCGTGGACGCCTATTCGCTCCAGAACCACATTGTAGAGATTTCGGAACTTCCATTCACGATCATTTTCACCGCAGAGTGTATCCTCAAGATCATCGCAATGGGAGTCCACGGTAAGGGCTCATACGGAAAAGATACGTGGAACGTCCTCGACTTTTTCGTCGTCGTCTCAAGGTAACAACGCTGCTGTATTGACCGGAATTTATTTTACTTCCGTTAATCTGTTTTTATTTTATTTTTTTTTCCTATAGTCTTGTGGCTTCATTGCCAGGAATGCCCAACGTATCAGCTATCCGAACGATCCGAGTGCTTCGTCCACTACGATCTCTCTCAGTAATTCCTGGAATGAGACGTCTCATCGCTGCCTTGCTGAAGGCTCTACCCGCTCTCGGAAATGTCGTGATTCTCCAGATTTTTGTCTTCTTCATCTTTGGCATCCTCGGAATTCAGCTTTTCGGTGGCAGTATGAATCGGCGATGTCGCGAGACATCGTTTCCCGTCAAGTTGCCGCTTGATGACACGAACGAAGTGGTCTGGCCAGTTCCGCAAGAATACATCGACCAAGTGAAGGCGAACGAAGAGGCGTATTTTTGCATTGATGTGCCACTTTTAGATTACGAAGACAGCGCTGGCGACTACACAAAGGAAACTTCGCCTTGGAATGTTCCTCAGGATTGTTTCTGGCCGGTAGACGAAGACGACGAGTTTCTCTGCGCTGCCAAGGGCCAAGCTGGCAACCATGCGTGCAGTAGTGGGAAAACTTGTGGCTCGGACTACGACGCATTTGGAAATCCTAGATTTAGTCACCACAAAGCCATGGATTACGCGCTCTACCGCCCCAGTCTGGACTGGGGTCTCACGACATTTGACAACATCGGACGAGCGTTCTTCACCATCTTCCAGTCCATCACACAAGAGGGCTGGACTGTCATTATGTACATGGTGATGGATTCGTCTCAACCGACGGTCGGGGCGATTTTTTTCGTGGTTCTCATCATTTTCGCGTCGTTTTTCGTCATGAATCTGACACTGGCAGTTATCTCAGAAGAATTTAATCTCGACCAGAAGCCAGGCAAGACCGCCGCCCAGAAGCGAGAGGAGGAGAGGAGAGCAAAGCTAGAGAGAGAGAATGCCGAAAAACTCGCCCGTGAGCACTGGCTGAATGCCGTCGTGTCTCACAAACTCTTTGCCGGGTTTATCATGGCCGTGATTCTCGCCAACACTGCAATTCTAGCCCTGGATCACTATCCGATGCCCACGCAGATGGACGAAGATCTCGAGATTGTAAACTTTGCGCTTTCCTGTGTTTTTGTCGTCGAGATGGTCATGAAACTCTTTGGACTTGGATTACGGCAGTATTCTTGCGACAGATTCAATCTGTTTGACGCCTTCATCGTGACGATGGGGATCCTGGAGACGATAGCGTCACCACCCTCTTTCATGTCCAGCAATCCTCCAAAGAAAGGAGCAGTGTCAGCTTTGCGATCATTTCGTCTCTTTCGAGTATTTAAACTGGCTCGAGATTGGAAATCACTTCGAGAACTACTGGAAATGATCATACGAGCAGTGGCCAGCATCACGAACTTCGGAGTGCTCCTGTTCCTATTCATCTACATCTACGCATTGGTTGGCGTTCAGGTAAGTTAGTTACCCGACGTTTCAAATAGCTTACGAATATCTTACGATTTCGTTTTGTCGTGTCTGCAGTTCTTTGGTAACACGATGCGCTTCGACAACGAAGGATACCCGACTCCATTCAACCTGGAAGAGTTCTGGGATGGAACGGTAAGTAATTTATTTTGACAAAAAGAGCGTGAACTTATACCAACCCTTTTTTCGTATATTACCAGGTTCCACGAAACAATTTTGACACGCTACTCTGGGCTGCCGTCACGGTGTTCCAGATCATCACGGGCGAGAACTGGAATAGTATCATGTACTTCGCCATCCTTGGGAACGGCATGCTGTCGTGTGTCTACTTTATCTCTTTGGTGATCCTTGGCGACTTTGTGCTCATGAATTTGTTCCTGGCTCTGCTACTGGACAACTTTGGAGACAACGACGAAGAGCAAGAAATGGAAAAACAGGAAGAAACCAAGAAACTTGCGCAGAAAATGTCCGTGATGAACATGAGTATGAAAGTTGCTCCAATCACGTCCGAGAACGAGCGAACGATGACGGCAAGAGGAAGTTTCTTGATGCTATCCACTGCGTTTCCCTTAGGAGCTCGTCGACAGTCGATACTGGAGATGGACGAGGATGCAGACGAAGAAGACGTTCGAGTTGTCAACCTCGAGAGGTTCGCAGACGAATTGACACCAAGCGTACCATTGGCAAAAACCGTATACATTGAACCTCCAGCTCGACTGAACCTTCCGAATGGGTCGACCACTCCTCGCGCTGATAAGGCAGTCAACTTGGAAGGAACGTCGTTGCGAGACATGATGAACTCAGCTCGAAACAGTTTCTTGGCCACTTCACGGGCGAGTATTGTGTCCGCTATGATGCTGAGCACGGGGGTCCAGTTACCTGCAGATGAAGAAGAAAAAGAGGACGATACGAACCACCCTCCGCCCCAGATTAACCTCGGAAGATCGCTATTCCTTTTCCCAGGCGACTCGAAAGTGCGACGCGTTGCCTGTTATCTCTCCACACATCGATACTTCGACTCGACTGTCTTCGGTCTTATCGTGGTTTCGTCCATTGCTTTGGCTGTGGATAATCCACTCGCGGACCCCAATTCAGGCCTCGCGACGTTCCTGAAAGGCCTGGACAAGGCGCTGGCGATAGTTTTCGCCATCGAAATGGTCATCAAGATTGTTGCCATGGGGCTCATCATGCACAAAGGCGCATACCTTCGAAATGGATGGAACATCATCGATTGCGTCATTGTCGTCTCCTCTGTCGTCATGCTCGTGGCTGAGTCGTCAGGAAAAGGAACAAACCTCAAGTCTTTGCGGTCACTGCGAGGGTTACGAACGTTTCGTCCCTTGCGTATGATCAGTCGACGGCCTGGCTTGAAGCTGGTAGTGAACGCCTTGTTCGAAGCCATCCCCGAAGTGATCAACGTCCTGTTCGTGTGCATGCTCTTCTTTCTCATTTTCAGCATCGTGGCGGTCAACTACTTGAAAGGAACGTTCAATGCCTGCAGTGGAAACGTCTTCAACGCGTTTTCGGCCGCTCGAATGAGTTTTCTCATCACTCCGAAAACGTGGAAAGAGTCCTCAGAGCTTCAGCGGAGTTGGTTTGCCGGTACAGCGTGTGAATCATCGTTCCCAACCACCACAGGCTCGGAACTGACTTCGGAATACGTTTGCGAGTGCTGGGGAGCCGACTGGGGCCACGTTTTGCCCCAAAACTTCGACAATGTGGGCTCAGCCATGTTGACGTTCTTTGAGATCTCCACTACCGAAGGCTGGGCCGATGTGATGATGGCTGCCATCGACTCAAATGGCATCGGGATGCAGCCGATCCGGGACAACAACATGATTTGGGCCTTATTTTTCGTCCTCTTCATCATGGTCGGCAGCTTCTTCGTCGTCAACTTATTTGTGGGGGTCATTATCGACAACTTTAACCGCATGAAAGCAGCGCTCGGTGGGGACTTTATGCTCACCCCGGAGCAGAAGAAGTGGATTGAGGCCCAAAAAGCTGCATCTCGCGTCGGCCCCGTGCGTATTTTGAGGCCTCCGAGGCAATTTTTACGACGTCAGCTGTTCTTCCTGGTCAAGATGCAGCGGTTTGAATGGTTCATCATGATCTGTATCATCGTAAATACCTTCCTAATGGCTGCGCAGTTCTTCGGTGAATCGACAATGCAAGCGTACGTTATCAACATTGTGAACGAGATTTTCGCCGTGATATTCACGCTAGAAGCGGTGATGAAGCTGACAGCTTTCGGGTGGGAGTATTTCGAGGACCAGTGGAACCAATTCGACTTTTTCGTCGTGCTCGGTACACTATTAAGTGTCATCGTTGAGCTTTTCACGGGCGCCTCAGTGCGATCCCTTGCGATGCTTGTGCGCGTGTTCCGAGTCACGCGTATCCTGCGCCTCGTCAAGGCATCCAAAAGCATTCGGCAGATTCTTCTGACGCTCTACATCGCCCTGCCTGGCCTCAGTAACATCACGTCCATCCTGTTCCTGATGCTGTTCATCTACGCTACAATGGGAGTCCAGATCTTCGCCAAAGTGGCGATGTCGGACAATATCGACGCCCACGCCAATTTCCAGGATTTTGGCAGCGGCTTCCTCTTCCTCTTGCGCGCTGCCACTGGAGAAGCGTGGAATAGTTGCATGCATGATCTGGCGTCCAGCACTCCGGGTTGTGTGGACGATCCTCCGTATGACCCAACCATGTGCGGGTTTAATGACTTTGAAGGCTGCAAACCTCTGAACGGATGTGGAAATCCCATTGCCTATGGGTTTTTCTGCACGTTTACTCTTCTGGTGACGTACGTCATGCTCAACCTCACGATTGCCGTTATTCTCGAGGGTTTCTCGCTCTCCCACGAAGATGAGGAGCCATTGTTTGAGCCCGAACTACTCGAAGAATTCCAGACCAAATGGGCCGACATTGATCCGAAAGCCACTGGGTTCGTCAAGGTCGACAAGATGCTGCTGCTTGTGAACCTGCTCAAGCCACCACTGGGGAAATTCGGCATGCCGATGGACATGGCTCACTTTTTCAAGTACACGTGTAAGTGGCAGCAGTAGATGGCTACATTATCAGCTCTAACGTGTTCCTGTCATGTAGGTCTGCTCGAAGTGCCTTTGTACGAAGGCGAGTTCGTTTACTTTCGAGATGTGCTGTTGGCCATGACTCGTGAGATGGTTAAAGTACGTTCACGCACGCAAAGGTGGCTGCAAAGATCTTGATTTTTTTACTTACCTTGGAATAAATGTCCAGGTGAACGCAGGCACCATCTCCGACATGCCCCCGGACCAGGACCCTGGCATCTCTGGTGTCCCAGGAGCTAAACGTCGTATCGAGTTCTTCGCACATCAATATTTTGGCGCTCGACGGATCCAGCGTCAAGTGGCGGAATGGCTACGCATCAAACGGCAACTCGAGAAAAGGTACATGGAGGAGTACAAGAACAAGATCAAGAAACCCAGCGGACGACCCAAGAAACAGCGCGATGCACGTGTCTTCACCATAGGATAGTTAGTCTCCATTATCTCGTCGTATTGTCTGCAAAGAAGAAAGAAACAACACAATGTTCTCCAGTGTATCCATTCTCTCAAATGTATCCATCTATCGTCGATTGGATCGGCGCCCCCCACGTCTCGCTGCTTCCTCCTTCCGGAAGGCCCAGTCCACATGAATCGTACTGCCCAAGATTTCCTGCCCGTCCAAGCGTTCCATGGCCGCCTTGGCATCCTCAAAGTGCTCGAATTCCACCAGTGCGTAGCCCTTGACGAAGCCTGAGCGTCGGTCCAAGTTCAGATGCAGATCCTTGACTTGTGCGTCCTCCCCGAAGGCGTCCATTACGTCCTCCTCCTGTGCTTCCTCGTGTACGCCGGTGACGAATAGTAGCCATCCCTCCACGGAGCGCAGAGCCGTTGAGTGGTCCCGACTGGAAGGCGAGGGCTTGAGCTTCTCAAACACGCCGCTCTCGGATGGGTACCGCGCCGCGTCCATGGCAGCGGAACCAGATCCGCGTCCTTTAACCGTGCGTTTGGCCTGCTGCGGCTTGTCCTCTTCCTCCTCTACGGCCATTGCCGTGTCACTCTCATAGTCCACCTCATCCGCCATACTTGCTCACAAGGCTGCAAATGGTGAGCGAATAAAGCTTCTCGTACTAAGTGCGAATCAAATGGGATGGAAATGTGTGTACATTGTGACACACAGTCTGTGTTCTGTACATGTAGCCCTATTGAGAGAGCGTAAAATAACGTTAAAATGCGTTTCATTTCGTATCACTATTACACAGACGATCCTCTCAGTGTTGATAGCGTCAGGAGGCAGCATTATAATATTATAAAGAGGAGTTGAATACTCAATATAAGGTACCCAATATAAGTGCCGTTCGTTATGCAAAGTGGCTTAATTTCTGCCGGCTATTGTCAATTCCCCGCCCAACACTGTAATACCGCGTACACCTTCGCCCACTAAGCCCCACCCACGTCGCGAAGCAGGCTAACGAATGACCAGCGACGGCAGATCTGTCGATTGCGTTGTGGGCTCAGCTACAGCACGCGGCAACGATTAAAAACATCCTAAAGCACAAAACGCCTACTCGAACTCATACCATTGGAGCAAAGTCGCACCGTTCGGTCCGCTTTTGCGATACTATTGCATTTGCATGCAATACCGATGGATCTGAGCGTTTGCCACCCTTTTTGTGGGTAAATCAAGGAGCTAACAGCAGATGTCACTGCTATCATTCTTCAGTCGACCTTTATAGTTAAGAGAGTTATCTTAAGTTTTGTAAGCAAGCTCTCAACCACTTTATTCGGAGGGAATTACGATTGGGAATATTAATACAGAGAGGATCGTCAGCACATACCGCCACGACAAAAGGTGTATGTATTGCAAAAGTTTAATCGTGTATAGTATTCGTTATCACAATACATCGTTTTATGTAGCCTATGTGTGATTCGTAATACCGGTACTTATTATTTAAACAAATCCGCATTTTTTGTCGTGCATTTTGGCCAATGTGAGTGCGTAGCTTTGTGGGAGCACATAACTATTAATATAGAGGGGAATGGGTCGCAGATTAATTTTAACGCTGGATTCAGCTTCAAAAGATGCGTCGTTGATTTAGAGGTGTTAGTCATTGTGTTATACCCTAATGTCGGCATATTTATAACCAGCAATTGTGTAGACTTGACTATCGACGAGCTGTAAGATATTCATTCGCGAGTTATCTGTCTTGATCCTCGATAATCTCCGCTCGGGTGGCGACATCTTGTGCACGTTCAGCAGGGATCACAATCACACCGTTGATATCGCCACGGATGATGTCGTTGTGACGCACCACGCATCCTGCAACGACGATGGGGCAGTTCACATCTCCGATTGTGGTTGACCCCCACACTCCATGCACCGACGTGCCCGTTGCGAACGCGGGGAAGTTCATTGCACACAATTCCTGCACATCTCGCACACGGCCGTCCGTCACAACACCGGCCACGTTTCGTGCTTTCGGCGCTGTTGCCAATATTCCATCAAACACGGCCGTCGAAATGCCTGACGGAGCACTGATCACCACCACTTGACCCATCTCTGCTGCGTCCATGTAGTCATAAGACCCAGTACCGACTGTGGCTCCAGTAATTGGCATCATCTTAACTGTCAACGCCGGTCCGCAGATGTTCATCGCTAAGGGAGCATCATACCCCCGAACCAGGTCCAGATCCACCAAATGCCCTTTAATCTTCATCACCGCCATTGCGTCGCCAATGACACAGGTAGATAGTTTGGCCAATCGAAGCAGCACCTCGGTCTGGTCCTGAGGAGGCTCAGCCTCTGACTCCAACATGTTGGTAAGCAGTTGCTGGTCAGCCCGCTTGAGGGCCAGCGACTGAGCCGTCTCCACTCCAGAGGATGAGAAGGTATCAGGACTGGACGTTGGCACGGCGAGTGACGCCACCGTGGCCGCCATGCTGTCAGTCGAGTCCTCAAGCTCCTCGGGCTCCTCGGGCTCGTCTTCAGCTTTTGTCTCGTGGAGCGAATCGGTAGCAGGAGCGGAGGATGCGGCAGCCATTGACCTACGGGAGCGTTGGTTGGTCTGGAAACCCGGTACACACGACATCTTGAGGTGTTCCGCCAACCGCGTGGCATTACTCGCATACTGCTTGTCGCATTTCTTGCATTGGTAGCGCACGAGCCCCTTGCGACCGGTCTCGGGCTCCAGCCGGGTGAAGAAGTCGTACACATTGCTGGGCTTTCGGCCCATGACTGCTACGTTTTTGATTCGAAGGGTGTATTTTACGGTCGGGGAATTTATTTTGCAGGCAAAGAGTTTCAGCCACTCGTCGTTGAGTCTGAAGTTTAAGAAAAAATGGCCAATAATGAGTGCAGGTTCAACTACATGTACCATTTGGATACCGGCACGTTTACTACAGACTGTAGTAGTCTTCAGTAATATTGTTTTGCTAGTATTATTCTTCCGTTTTGGCTGATAGGAATTCAGTAAGGACCTTAATATTATCTGTCATAGTTAATACTTCGAAGTATTTAAAACGATTTGGCACCCTAAAAGATATTATACAAGCCGAGCGGATCCCCGCAAGCGAGGCTCTTTATCCCTGCTTAAGCCGAGCAGCAGTACGGCCGCCTCGCTCCTCTCGAGTACGTTTCACTTTTGTAAATTGTGCATTCAGATTTCAGATTCGAAAATCGGATGGAAACGAAAAAAAAGGTGAGAAAATATTATTGCTATTCGCGCTTTGCTCGGCGGATTTTTTTATACCACCGTTCTGTATTAGCGATTGACCGTCTTATTTGTAAATGCCGCGGTGAGCTCATGCTAGTGTCCTTCAAAAACTACCAAGAACCGGATTATCTCACTAATTGTTGCCTAGTAACTCCAATTATTATTAGAACATTTTTCTTAATAAACTGAAGGACAAACCACCATCTGAGTAGCCATTCTAGACATTTTGTGCACCGCAGTTCCCCATAAACCCGTAGGATTGGAGAGCTACGACATTGTAATAGGCTACATTTTGATATGCAAACACCTATCAACCAAGCAATGCCCTCTGTTTTCTGTTCTAAAATTTACTATGACGGAAATAATGGATTTAATTTAGAACCAACTCAAGGGATAAAACACTTATATAAACCTCATTTTGCAAATTTATGTCCTGAACTTTCCTGGAAAAAAACGATTGCATAACCTGGCCTGAGGAATGCGCGGCTCGCTATGGGAGTCAGCCTACGCAAATATCGCGGGCGCTCGCTACCGCTTAGTAACATCAAATCAAAGTTTAGGATGTTTAGGCCAGTTTCAGGACATAATTATTTTCCGGTTTGGAAAGTTATATGCCTTGCTGCTATCACATCGAAAACGTTTAACTTTCAATGATTCAAAATTGCATTTACGAAAGGTATTGGCTTAGTTAGCAGTGTTTCCAGCGATCCTACATACAAGAAGCAGGCATTTTATTTTACTAATGATGTGAAAAATCCAGAAAATATGAAATCTAATGTATTCCCGATGTACTTGCGATCACGCGCAAAATATGTACTCTACAGGAAATGACATGTAACAAGCGAGGACAGATTTACCAACCGTAAACGATTGGATTATAGCTGTAGTCATTATAGCTGAAGTCATTTGACCGAACTCATTCTGAAACATTTTCACTGTCATGTTAATTGCATGTAGTCGTTTAAGCACCACATATATCGTTGCGGAGCGTCCTCCAATGGTGTGCTACTGAGCTGAGTAAGCGCAACATATTAATAGGTATTAGCTCAAAAACCCTGAGTAAAAATGCGAACGTAAGCAACGTGAACATTGGGAGATGTCCAATCATGTATAATAATACTTTGTGTTTCAATCTGGGGATGCTGTGTGCCTAGATCGTTTTTTTTTCATATTTCCTGATTGATATAATTGTTCTAATGATCTTGAATCAATCTTCTTGATGCAATCTTTTTATTATTGCTAGCTATCACTGTATCTTCATCTTCCACCCGAAACCACCTGCACTTCAAATAACATTTATACGAACGCTTCACAATATGTTTAGTTTAGCGTCGTGCTCGATATCGCGGTTCATTTCTGAGCTCACATGATAGTAATGGTATGTCCAGGTTGTACTACTTACCCGCTTGTACTGCCTATTTGAGCTTGTAAGTAACTAAAGATTGTTCACTTCTCACACAAAGCTCAATAAAAGCTAGAAAATATTCGAATTGTAATATTTTTATGCATGCAGCGTGCATTTTGTGCTGATTCAGAATTAGTCATTAGGATCTCGACGGTAGTGCTTTTAATGTGATAGTTTAAGGATAATTACATGATGGTTAAACGTCATTTAGGCTCCACGTTTATTCACGTTTATTTATGTGGTCTACTTTCTGCCAACCAACTATAATTAACACCTCTCGTGTTTGTTGTTGTCCTGCCGCTCCATTTATAATCTTATCATTCGCCCCTATCGGCGACACGTCCGCCAATTAAGTAGTATCAGATTTTGCTGTCCAAACAACTCTTAATAAAAAACAATTGTTTACTGCAGTAACACATATGGGTTCATCTAAAACTATTTTTCTTCATGGATCAAGTGACAACGTATATTAGCACAGCGTTGTTCTTACGGCCAGCTTCTGTTGTACATGCACTATTATTTGGCAGCTCAGTCGGTTACCTCACACTCATATATTTTCTTAATATTTCTACAACAAAACAGTTGTAGTTATTCTTTTAGTATTTGTTTCTTGTAGAAACTACTAAGAACATAGTATTACGTATATTAATGGTATGGCCTCGGAAACACGTGTACGCTAAGCACCTTGCAGCATAGGAAGCGTCCTTAGGAGCTATTTCATTTGAAAATAAGTATTAATAGCAACATCCAAAATAAAAATAGTAAACATCAAAACTTCGTAGTATTTAAGCGATGGATAATGGGTAGTCTTGTGCAAATCTCCATAATAAATTATTATGGAGATTTGCATAATATTATTATGTGCACATGGATTTACCGATGTAAGCTACATAATCCAGTTTTAACCTATTGGAGCCGCCTTCGCTCCGCTCGACAGCCAATGAGAAAGCTCAAAAATCTAAACGTTTCGTGTGACGGACGGACGGACACCGTGTTAGCATTAATCATTTAGGACTAGCCGGCCGCCGCCGCTACGCGGCGGAGTGGCATGGTTTGTTGGCAATGAGGTGTCCGCAAATTTAGGTGCTACTTAGTGTCGCGTTCTTTGCGAGCATCGTCACCCCAGGAGGTCTTGGCTTCGTGTACTTAACCACTTACCATTCCATAATATCATGTAGACCTGTGCAAGATCGTGGTTTGGTACACCTCCGCTACCCCATATTATACGTTGTGTGGTGTAGTAGAACACACAAATACCATCAGATGTGGATTCCTTACACAAACCACAACGAATCGCCGAGTTAGGTCGGCGGTTGTATGGCCTGCGCAGAGGGTGGTCCCCTCGCGGATCGGCCCTTCCGGGACAGACGAGTGGCTCGCTTCCACTCGGTTCCGACTAACCAAGTCAGATCACTTCCGAGGCTCCGCCGAGTTTGGTTCGGCTGAGCTCGTTCACAACCCTGTGCCCTCCACCAAAGGATGGACGACGGCGCGCGAGCGCTTTTACAGGCCACCGAGCGCAGAGGCTGCTCAGCTAGAAGTGTTACGGCACCCGGGCTATCCGACGTACCGGCCCGCTGAGTATGCGGGACTTTCTTTCGCGCGTAGCGAGACTTTGTCCTACCCCGACCGACCTAATCTCTTGGCGCTACCAGTCAATACCCTACAAGCTATGCCTCTCGAGTATCGACGGCAGGCATAATCCAGCCCTAAGCAGGGACTTACCGGAAAAGTGTGCACGTGTCTTGGACTAGGAAAATTCTGCTCTGTTATCTTCTGGGAGCCTTTTCGGCTCCCCCTATTTAATCATATGCTTCTTTTACAAATATCTAGTGAAATGTAGTCGTTTCGGATCTCTGCCGACCCTTCAGCTGGGTTCAGGCGACCGTTGAGCTCAGCGGATATCCGGATAGCATCATCCGGATAGATCGCCGAGTACTTATTGTGATCCTTTGTTCCTAAGCTCTGGGCTATCAGACCGAGCCGATTCGTGATCTAAAGTAGGGTGGCGTATGGTCGAATCTGAAAATCCCTACACCACAACTGCCCCGGTTATGATACGAGCCGAGCTGGTGAGTGTCTTAATTCTTCATTTTGTTCTGCCACCGTTGGTCCGTACTCGGCTGATGACGTCTCGCGGCTCTCCACCACCTTCTTCGGTACGTTTGCTGCTTCCGCTGTCACTCACTTGGCAGCTCCTTACTCCTCGCATGTTACCCCAGCACAGCTCGTGGCGCCACCATTCTCCTCCAACTCCTCGTCGAGGTGAAGGCGCGCCAGCTAAGTCGATTCCTCGACCCGTCGGCACTCGTGGGGTCAGCGACCGGCCTGAAGCTGGGTTGGTCGACCTGACAACTTCCCATGAGTCTGACGCGGAGTCGGCGGAGTCTTCTCGCGCGCGCCCCCCTGGTCCACCGAGCTTGCCGGGCGACACCACTTCGGGCGCCCCCAGTCAGTCAAGCTCGGCTGCTCCAGTGAGTCTTGACCCCCTCATAGCCAGGATTAACGAGCAGGGGTACGAGCGTCAAGAAGAATTGACCTTCTTGGCGAGGCTCATGGCCTACGGATTCACCCGTTCCGTGGAGCCTTCCGATCCCGTGCAGCGGCGAGCGATCCTGCAGGCTTCTTCCGCGGGGGAGCTGTTGGACATCTTGAAAGGCAACTACGCCGCTCTTGATTATCCCCAGATCATTGGTGATCTCAGGGCTGACAATCAAGCTGTTCAAAAAGAGAACCGCGCACTGACTCGGCGATTGGACTCTCTTGCCCTCAGCAATGTTGACTTGTCCACTCAGCTCTCATCGGCGCGACAACAGGTGTCCCGATTGGAGGCTGCTGCCACGCAGTCTGCTAATCTCCTTGCTTCACTACGAAAGGCTGTAGCCCTGAGTGGGCTATCGCAGCTGAGCAGGGCAAGGTTGATGCTGCATTGAGTCAGGCTCAGCTCCATCATCAGCAAGTCTTGGATCGAGACGCCGAGATCTCAGTCCTTCTCCGATCTATTTCCGAGAGGGATGCGGCGTTCGTTACTCTTCAAGGCATTGCTTCCAAGCATTTCGAGCAGCTGCAGGAATCGGTGCGGCTGTACAGCTCAACCGGCACTCAACCCTTGCGG